GAAGCTTTACTGCACTGATGATAAAAGGAATAACGCAGGAACACAAAGGTCCCAACCCTTAAATCGGAGCCTCTCTCCTATTCAAAGCTCTCTGGAAATCTCCCAACAACCTTCAGCCTGGCTCAAGAGCAGTTCAGTAAACTAAAGTCTGTACTCTGCTTGAATAAATTAGACTGAAAGGAAGAACTCGGGGATACACAATGAATCGAATTTTAATCTCGATCATGATTTAGACTAAATTATCAAACGATGCGGCGTTTGCTAACGTGAATCGTCCAACATGAACTCAAACACCCGTAACTGCGAGTCCTCAAAATGAGCTGATGTGACAGGCTGCAAAGAGGCTGTTCTGAGAAGACACTGACCAATTACTGCAGTTTAATTACAAAAACAAAGTTGAGAAGAATGATGGTGCTTTAAGCCTCGTACCTGTGCATGCTTGAAGGTGTGCATGACAAAGATGGTGAGGCCCAGTCCAAAGATGTAGGCCAGGAAGCTGGAGTAGAAATACGTCCTGCTGTTTTTATTCAAGCTGCAGGTAGAAGACGGTTTCACATGAAAGGGAATCAAGAACATTCGTCTTATTTAAATCCCACCAATGAGAGAAAACAAAGGAAACGAGACAGCTGAGAGGAAAGAGGACCGAGTGTTACCTGACATCGAAGCGCAGCAGCAGAGCGATGAAGATACCCGGGATGACGATGTCTCCCAGTCCCAGCATGGCAAAGTTACTGGCCTCCAGACCTTTCTCCAACAAGTCCTGTGGAAACACCACTGGAGTGGAGCAAAGACGGGTGGGGAGATCACAGCAGGACAGGAGGTCAGCTGGTGAAGTCTATGAAGAGCAGAGCTAAAACTGACTGACACGCTCATACACAGCACTTACATTTGATTGGTGCTTCAAATGACTTGGCAACAGTCACCATGACGTTGGTCCCAAACACCTGGAGACACACAGAATAAGGATGATGCACAGCTGTGTTCATGCTGGGTCATTGTTGGAACATCTGGATTGTGCTGAAACTGAACATCTGGACATGACAGAGCTGAGCTCTTCTGGGACGTTTCCGTACGACTACCTGAGCCGGACACGTGATCTACTCACCCAGAAGACGTCGTAGACGAACAGCCCCCCCAGCAGGATACAGCCGGTGCTGACGTTGTTCAGGTGGAGCAGCTCCACTCCGTTCAGGGCGAACGCCAGCCCGAACAGGTTATTGGCTATCCAGTGCTGTGATGTCACAATACACACGCACACGTGAGCACAAAATGACGCATCTGACCGGCTGAGACGAACACATTTACATAAAGCATTTTGTTTTTGAATCCTTTATACAGATGTTGACCAGAGGTTCTTTAGTCTCAGCTAAATAAACGAGTTGGATTCAGAGGTTTTATCCTCATTATTCTTTAAATAATAATGTGAAGCTGACAGCAGGCTTCGACCACGTTACAGGTTTCAGCTCTATGTCACAGCGTGGAACATCATTTCTAATGGAAATAATTAGAGCTTACATTTTATACCATCTGTCAGAAAAACAGGAAACATTTTAAAATCTGTCGATTTTCTTTGTTTCACACCGGACGTCTCAGAAATCACAAAAGGAATCAAACATAAGCACTAAAAACTATTTACTCAGTAAATAACTGATTTGGCATCTTGATGAAAAAACAATAATAACGTGCTTCACTGTTTTTTACTGCTTTTATGTAAAAGAGTAAACTAAACTTGCACATATTTGTGGATTGACCATTACAGAAACATCAGCACTGTCATTTAGGGCTTCATAAATAATTCATTACCCACAGATCTAAGCTCAGTCACGTCAGAGCTCACACACGTGTCACTTTTACCTTTTTGAGCAGGTACCAGACTCCCACCACGGTGCTGATGAGCAGACACACCAGGTTCTTAGTGTCAAACTCATAATTGACTATTTCTGTAGAGACATGGAGAGATGCAGGTCAGACATGAATCAGGTTCAAAAGGCCGTTTAATAAACCACATTTATACAGAGATGCTCACAGTTCTGACAGATTCAACCTAACAAACTTTAACTAAGGCCGTTTGTTGCTTCCTCAGTAAACACGATTCAATGAGAAGATTTACTCCAAAACTTTACACCTACTTTCTTTACAGTTTGCTCTGCAGATGAACCTGTACAGCAACATTGTCGTCTTTACAAAGAGAAACAACATTCACTGTTCTAAGGTTTTATACATCAGGACATAATAAACAGATCATGTGGCCCACGGCTCGTTCTTTACTGCTTCAAACGGACCTCAGAGGGTAAGTGGCAGCCAGGCGCTGACAGTTAAATGCACTTCATTAAGTGATCATCAGCAACAAAGTCCATCATTCTAAAATGTAAAAATACTGACGGCTGCTAGTGCCATCTGTCAGCCTCCTCCTAGATCAGGGATGGGGAACTGCAGGCCTCGAGGGCTTGGTAATGAACTGGTCATTTGCTTCAGGTGTGCTGACCCGGGGTGATCTCTAAAACCTGCAGGACACCGGCCCTCGAGGCCTGGAGTTCGACAGCCCGTCCTAGATTCACCTTTGGTATCATTTTGAAATCTACGTTCAGAAATGATTGTGTTCACAAGATTCTCAGACCTCTGAGGTCACTGAGATTCTAACTCATTCGACATTAGCAGATGCACCTGTGGTATGAATTTAAAAATACTGCGTTGCCTCGTTCCTGAGTTATCGCATTCAAACTCGGGTCGTCACCTCGGCCCATCCACCCGTAAAAATACCTTTTTACAGGCGAGGAGGGCAACAATTATTCATCTGAAAACTTTCCATGTCAGACTCTACAGGCCCCAGTTAGCATGTTAAAGGTGAAAGTTCATGACAGCACAGTTAGAAAAGAAAGCACAGCTTAGGTTAGTGAAGCTTCATCTGAAGGAACGATGACATAATCCACAGCAGCACAAACATCTCACACCAACGATTTAATCATCGAGCTGACCGTGAGGTCCTCTCTATACCAAAGTATTCTGGGGTCAAGCGTGAGGTCGTCTGTCTCATAGCTAATGCTTGAGCTAACATTTGGTCCAGAGGAGGATCCAAGCACAGCAGCAAATGTCCAACAGAATAAGAAAAGAATCACCGTGCAGCAGTGACCCAGTCAAAGTCCAGACAGAGAAACCCCACAAACCTCAACCTGAAGCAACATTTGACAGAAGACGAGTAAAATTCCTTCAAAGCGATATGCAAAACAATTCACTTCCTCTGGCATCTTTGCCATGCAATACTTTAAGAATTAAATCGGAGCAATAAACTGTTTGAACATGTTTTGGGTTTTTTTGGGTGAAACAAAAACATTTGCCTGCTCTTTTTAGGAATCTGGGTCTTTTAAACTCTGTATTTTTAAATGGTGTTTGTTCCCGTGGTTGGTGGGACGGGCAGCAGGTCTCACCTTCTTTGGACTCTCCGGAGCCCTGAGTGAAGAGCAGCTGGTACTGTTTGTTTGGGAAAGAAGCTGGGAAGACTCTGGACATCAGAGGACTGAGAGACAGAACCAAGAACAGAGTAGAGTCACCTCCAACATCAGTTAAACCAAAGCGATTTACTCGCACACACATTCACGTTCTCTGACGTACCTCATAGTGTGAGACAGAGCCAGGACGCCCAGGACGAAGAAGTAGACCGACAGCAGCAGGTTGATGTACTCTTGAGAGAAAACCTGCGTCACAGCACACGTCCAGTGTCAGAAACAAGCCTCATCTGACGAAATGCACAGTCGCAGCTCTCCCCGAGGTAAGAGACGCCGACTTACCTTGAAGAAGAGGTAGAGCCCAAATAGAGTGCAGCTGGCGATGATGGGGAACCTCGCTGCGTCCCGACTGGTGATGGTCTCGGGCATGTCGGCTGCATTCTGGGAGAAACGGAGCGGAGACAGAAATATGAGCAGGTAAGGTGAAGGTTCACCAGAAGACAGGGATGTGCACACCAATCCAAACGCCAGGTGAGACCACACCAAGTTAAAGCCTCCCATCACAAATTTAACCTGAAAGAAGATGAACTAGTCTCCAGACAGAAACCAGTGACGTTTTAAATTAAGATCATAAATTTTAAATTAGAGTTATATGGACCACAGATTATGTGTTGTAATGTAACTGTTACTGTCAGCGTTTAACGCCTAAACTAACCCAAATACCAGGATTAACCCTGAAGCACCTGTGAGGCGCTGTGTGAGGCGCTGTGTGAGGCGCTGTGTGCCAACACTGCAATAAGCAGTTGCTTCACTCTGCAACCACAAACTAATCTGAGGCGCCGCCTGCTGCTCGTGAAATGAGGCAACACAGGCACCACAAACCTGCCTGCACAGCTGTCATGCTGGGGGTCAAATACTCAGTTTTGCTTAGAAAGCCTGAAGTAACTGCAGCTGTAATCAGAGCTGAGCCAATCTCTAAATACTAGAATAACGTGCTGCAGTGCGTCCTCCTCTGTGGAGGCGACAGTGGAGCATCGCTGAAGAAAGAAAGGAGCAAACTGTCCAACAAGTGCTCACCGGGACTGATGGCAGGCACACGGGCACAAATCAGGTAAATATTAAATATTAGTGTGTTTTTCACTTCATGCTACAAACTGATACAAGTTTAACCTTCAGTGACAGCCTGAGTTAGACCCACAGACGAACACTGAACACTACGCCTCTGTAATAAAATCTGATTCTTATCGAGGCGTCGCTCGTGTGGATATTCACCATTTAGCAACAAAGCTTCTCAAAGCTGGGACTTCCTGCTGGTATAAAAGGCTTTGGAAGATACAGCCATCACACCAGCGTGGGTTTGAGAGCTGCAATAATTACACAATGGCAGAAATGTGTGTTTCCACAGACATGCCAGAGGGCACCTCCCTGTCCTCCTCCCGATCAGGCCGTCCTTCCACACTCGGGTCGGATCGCTGCAGCTACCAAAACTAACAGAAAAGAAGAGCTACTGTAGACTGACAGTAGCCCTGAGAGAGAAGCCTGAGAGTCACCTCCATCTATATTCTCCTCCATCTACTCACCCGAGACAGAAACTGGGACAGAGGAGGATGTAGAGGGATAAGGAGAGGAATCCTACACAAACCAAAGCTCAAGTTTACAGTAAATGCAGTATTAATATTACAAACATTTTCTAAATGGTAACATCCTGTCTTTCCTGAAACTAGAGATGTTTTTAAAGCAACATGAGCTTCTATAGAAACCAGTAAATCTGCAGGTGACTGAGTTACATGTACCACAAACACACAGCTGTTAGCAAACAGGCTGAAGTAACACCATGTTAGTGCGAGTTAGACGCTGCTAAGATCTACATCAGGACGAGGTTAGTCGCAGGAACTGTACAGTTAATATTCTAAAAATGAACCTCAGTACTGTGAGGTTTGCGTTTTATGTACCAGAGTTTGGGCTCCACTGAGTCCAGTCATTTTTTACTCCCTTAGCTTTCAGAAGTATTTTCTACTTTAAGCCGTTTTTCTATTTGCAGGCTGTGTTTGTGGTCTTGGCTTCTTCAACGAGTCTTCTGTGCATGAAACTGGTTCCTGGGATTGCTGCAGGACTTACTGCCAACATCCCCCCGGTCTGTGTTATGTGCTGCTTTGAATTTGTTTTTGTTAAAGTCTGGCTTACAATTTGCATGAACCTGAATCAGACTAAGTGATCAGTGCAGTCGGGACGCAGGTGAAGCTTCAGTGGAACTTTGCACGTAATCCAGACGCCACAGTCTGTGTGCGACTGCCGAACCAAAGAAGCCGTTTAAAGTCATCAAGTTCACGTAACGTTATCAATTCCTTACGTCACGCATGAAATGCCGCGCTGATGGTTTGAGGACAGTTTAATGCAGCCATCAAAATGCACATTACTCTGTTAAATCTTGTATTTTCTTTTACTCAACCTTCATATTTAGACACGTCATTTCCCCCATTCCCCCCTTTCTGCACAAATTTTCCTGAAGTAGTTTTAGACAATTTCCTGGGAAATCCTGCAGCAGAATCTTGAACCTGTTTCAAAAACGTGTTTATACTTTTGGCACCGCGTTTCATTTTCTCTAACTCCTACAGAGCGTGTGAGCAGCTAGCAGTACCCATTAAGACACACTAAAGTTGAATATATCAGGCAGGAATAAGATGGGATTATCAGCCACAGTAGATTATCTCTCTTTTTAACTTATCAGTGCAGAAAAACAGAAAACAATTTAATCTGATTGGTTCTTGACCCTCTTCTTCTCCATTGCAGGTGTTCCTTTTATTTCACATGTCTGTTTGTTTTTGGACAGCACACACACTGAAACAAGCGTGAGCTGATGAGCAGTTTGTTGTTCCGGCTCCACCCAACACCTCCGCGTTCATGCAATCCCTGCTGTGTCAGTGCTGGAAACCAACAGTGTCTGGGTGTATTGGTGCACACAGCGGCTCTCATACTCACTCTGAACCCAGAATCGTAATCATTTTCTCCGAGCTCCTACAGATAGACAGACAAACAGAATGGGTGGACAGACAGATGTGCACACAGACAGACAGGGAGAGAGAGGATCAGATCGGCAATCAAGAGCAGGGCTGGAAGCAGGGCCCAAAATTAAAGCAAGCAAACAGGTGTCCAATGCAGGAAACAGATCATCATTGCTGGAATTACACAGGGCAACAGCTTCAATGAATCTGAACTCATATTCATATTATAGGATGGCTGACAGAGGAGAAACAGCGAGAAAGAGGAAGAACGGAGGAAGAGAGGACGGATGCCATGGACGCCGATTTTAAACTGAACATCACCCGAGGCTCAGGCAGAGACTTTCTGTCAGATTTACCAACGCCAGCACAAAACCCTGTTTTGCCGTTTAAAACCCTCCCCACACACACATCTTTGCTACAGAGGTACGACCCGAGTCGTCACCCAGAGGGTTTACAGCCCAGCTCCAGGTATTTCTCATCTCCAGTGTTGCTATCCCGATGTCACAGGGCAGAGCGTGTGATGCTGAGGAGAAGGAAACACTCTGAGGAGCCACAAAGAGCCATGCAAGTCACAGATGTATTAAACTGAGACAAGTATCTCCATACAGTGAGCAGAGCGGTGTGTGGAGGGTTATAGTCAAACTTATAGTTCACAGATCATCAAGAAAACCTCCATTGGTAAGTGCACACACACACAGAGCTCTGCAACATCACAAATCCCTGTCATGTGTTTCGCAATAACTGTTAAAGGCTCCGTCCCATAACACGGTGAAATATTTGAATTAATTATTCAATACTGTATTTCAATTTTCTAGCATCATTTAATGCCAAATACAGATCGTATCTCTAATGCTTTAATAAACAACTAATTTGAATGAAGTCAACACAGTCAGGCTGATTTTCATACCTTGTTTTTTCCGTTTCCAACTAAATGTGAACAAAGACCCAGTTTGTAGATTT